CAATGCTCCTTTTCATCCTTCAGACGTGGCAGAGTGGCTTTCTGCGGAAATGAGCTTCATTAACCCTTTCAGGGTCCAAGGCCCAAATCTGGAGTCACGCACCAGTGTCCAAGATATTTCAAAAAAAAAATTTGTTATTTTTTCTTATGAAATCGTAGAGAATCTTTTTGTGAAGGTAATAAAACAAAAAGTACGAAAATTGGTGGAAAATTGACGAAATTATGCTCTCGCGAATTTTGATGTGTCAGCGATATTTACGAATCGGCTTCCGGCGATTTTGCCGACTTTGACTCCATTTTAGGCCAATTACATATTCCAATCAACCAAATTCTTAGCTATTTTCACTAGTATTACTTCTATTCTATCGATTGAGCACAAGAAATCGCCAGTCAACTGTTTCAACTACAAAATAAGTGATCGGAAATGTTTTAATGTTGGCCATTTAAATTTAAAACACCAAAGTTCAAATAATCCCAATTTCAAAATAGGGTCCAGAATGAACAATGTAGCATTCCTGCACTAAAAAAAACATTTCCTCTGTTCATTAGTTTATGTTTTGAGGCTTTACAAATAAATTCCCCATTTTGATTTTTTAATTCACATAATGAATTTTTATTCCAGGCACCAAAAATATAGAAGATTTACTGTTATCAATACTGTAATAATTGTATAAATATCTCACCATATTTGTGAATGTATATTATACCCACTCAGCTGATGTGTATTAGACGTGTGAGGTTTTTGTTTTACTCTTGAATATGGCAAAAATTTACCATTTCCGCTACTTTTGAGCTCAGTTTCAAGCCATTTCCAATGCTAAAACCAATCAAAATCATCTCTATTTCGTAATATGGTCTTCCATCTATCAAATGAACCAAGAAAATCGCAATACAACTATAAAAACATACGATAAAACACTGCAAAGTTGGCTGTTTTAAATCAAAAATCATGATTTCATTTTTTTCTCTCATTATGCGCATGTGCTGCAGGAATTCTGTTTTATGTGGTGCACTACATACCACATAGATGTATTCTCTCATATCTAGGCCCAAGATGTAACCACTTCACAGTTTATCAGAGTGAGCTGAGCTCATGGCGTAGATGATCTAACGGTTTTGGACCCTGAACGTAAAGCCGTAGATCCACGGGACGGACCCGGAAAGGGTTCAGGTCAAGCTTTTTTGCCTCCTAATAAACCACTCCTCTCCTGCAGCCCAGGACTAGCAGGTCTTGCAAACTTCAAAAAACTCTAACACAAAAGGTAATGTTTGAAAGTGCTTGGTAGTGACCTCAGAAACTCTAGTTGACTCTAAGAGAGCTTTGGGGAGAGATCACTTTAGCATCCTCAATTGTGTAAACATTATAGGAGGCTTGGAGGAAGTGACTAACAGGCCTTGAACTCTGGCTTGGAAGAAACTGTGGCCAGAATGTGTAAACCAAAAGGGATTTGAAGGGTTTTGAGGCTAACCCTGGGAATCCATGCCAGTTGGAGTAATCCATGTAGCATTGGGGAAGTCCTTGGGTTGGAGGTTAGTGGGGAGGAAGTGGAAGAAGTTGGAGAGGAGGACAATGACGAACTAACCACTGATGACTGCTTAGATCATCTTCACAGCAAGAGGCCCAACCTAGGAAACTGCTCTGGAAGGAGGGGATAGAGAAATTGAGGAAGTGCCTACTTCAAAGATTAAGGCAAGTGTGCAATGTGGCTTAAAGTGCAAACCATTGTTGATGAAAATCACCCTCACGATGGACAGCAATTTGCAAGCCGGCTGTGTGACTATTAATTGACAATGTGTGAAACACTTTAGAATGTCATAAGGAACGGAGGTACAGCCTTCTAGGACAGATATGTTATGGTGACAGGATCCAGTGCTGAATGCCACAAGCCATTTGCAGAAAGACGTTTCTGTGCTAGTGTACTCACTTGAGTGTTGTTTTGTTGTCCCTTGTTTCCAGATGGTGATCCCATCCTAGTTACAGTAATTCATGCAGTGTAAGAAGTTTTTTCTTTCTCGAAGTAACTTTCACATGTTGTTAACGTTTGTAAGTGAAGTTTCTTTATAAGTTTGATACTCGTGTCACTGTGTGTGACTCAGACTGGAATATCTGTATGTTAACCATGTTCATTTCTTTTCTCTGTGCTTGCAGTGAGATAGTAGATTCGTTCTCCTTGTCTCATATTGCATGTTATAAGCGTTATTTTTTTCAACCGGGATAGTCAATCCACTCCACCGAGTTTGTTCATTCCTCCAGTAAGAAAGAACTGATTCCTTTGTGTCTGGTGTGATTCGATTCCTGCTCCCAGAAGATCTTATTCTGACTGTGAGCCACCAGCAACCATTAGTGACTTTTGTAATGAAGCCAAGAATTACTGTATAACGAACAGCCGAGTTGAGTATCCCTAGCAGAAGAGTTAAAATTCCACGATCACTAGTGAATGTAGCTTGTATCTATTGTAGTTACTCGTTCACATCACCCTCCAGTCAAGGTCATGTGTTAACCATCGCAGAAATAGTTCGATCCACCCAAAAGATGATAACCATTCTTCATATGTAAATCTTACCTCGCAGAGTTGGGTTTAAAAAATGAAAACAGCCTGTATAATAGATGTTCCAAGATGAATGAAATTGTCAACTGTGTGTCTTGTTATTAGTTTATCAGTTTTTTCAGAATTTTTTTTTCGTGTTCACGTTCCCTCCGAATTCTGAGAATTTAACAGTAATGATCTGTGGCACCAGAATTGCCTTGCTGTTAACTTCACCATGTATATATAATTTATTCTTCATCAAATCTGTAGAGTGCATAATACAGATCGATCGATCAATTCCAACCTTTTATTATAATATTACTTGTACTTATAATTTGTAATGCATTACGTAAAACTCATTATGTTTAACATCCATTATGATACCAACCATTAGTTCTAAGTTACATATGTCTTTGTTATTGTATAGAATCAGCCCAGAACCACCTGCTCTTCAGCCTATAGCATAGTGGTATATGTTCAAGACGACATGTAACATGATCGAGCTGTCAGCATAGTTGCCTGATCCCCCTTACAAGTGTGTATAAGCTTATCTGAGTATCATAGTACCATTCGTATGTTTTATAAAGACGATACCCTTACTACCTAGTGACTGTATGACATCACGGGATGCGGCAGTGAGTGAGTGGGATGGCGCTTACCTCACTCTCAGTCCGCACGCATATGTTCTACACAGGCAAGACAATGGCAGGTTGGCTTCCTTACCACAGTCTGACAATTTATATAGTGTTACCATCCAACAAGTGTGTATATCTTCAACCCTCGTTATCCACCTTTTCGAACCCCATGACACAATCTCAACCAGATCTTCAATAAAGGTAAGTGTTCATGTAACTGTGCATGTCCTTCTTCAGTTTGTGTGTATTTAAAATAAATATTTCATGTGGTAAAAAAAAAAAAAAAAATCATACTTTGGGGTGTCCAGAATGGATTAATTTGATTCCATATTTCTTATGAGAAATTAATTCAGCTAGCGATAATTTCGCCTAAAAACGTTGAGCTCTCAGGAACATAATATCCGTTAGGCGCAGGGTCCACTGTATTTGCTACATTCCTCAATATTAGTGTCTTAGTTGAAATCACCCAGGAACAAAACATTTGGGGCTGGGATTGGAAGATTTTCCAGACAGCATTAATTTTCAAAAGCTGTTTCTTTGAATTGTTGGAAAATTTTATCTGGTGGCTTGTAACAACCAAAATGGCAAGGTTTTTGGTTTTCAACTTCTATTGCTAAAACTTCAACATATCATTGTGTGTTCATAATTCTGAGCCAACAAGTGACTGTGTGATATACAGACCAACCCTCCCCCCCCAATACTTGTTGGCCTGTTCTTTTCTCTCAACTAAATAAGTTTTATCCTGGTACCCATATTATGTTATCAGTGATCTGTTTTGTTGTGGGTCTCTATGAAAGCTCAACATTTTTTTTTTGGCAAATCTGACTGGTGTGGAGTCCAGAGATAAAGAACATTTTTTTGGCTGTTGATGGCATTAGATCCTAATATGTTTCCAATACAAATTGATGATGAATGTTTGATTTGTGGGGGGGTGAGAAGCTTCTTTGTTGGCACAAATATCCTGTTGCTCTTGATAGGCCACTGGCTTCTGCCCCATACAACAACAAGCTCCAAGGTGAGGAGACACCTATTGAAGGACAAACACAACCTCACACCCTCCTACACACACCCCTCTCAAACCTGGCAAACAAACATGGGCAAGTGGCCCACACACACACTTGCAATGTAAATCACACTAACACATAGGTGAGTACACAACACAGTCTGCAGACCTCACAGAGAGAAGACCTAGGAGTAAAGCACAGTGAATATGCACATCACCAGACACAACATCAACTGAGTAACCTAACACTCTGTAACCATGCTACCTGGCCATTCTGAGAGTGTATACGAATGGTTCAGAGAACCGACATGTTGATAAATTAGACACATGTTGGCAACTCATGGGTATCGTTTATTGAGGAAACGTTTCGCCACCAGCAGTGGCTCAATCAGTCCATACAGAGAACGAAGAGAAAGAACGAGGTAATCAGTCCTTCAAACCTTGAGTCAGATGAGGTCCATCCATCAATGTTGAATAGATACAGCATATGAGCGGAAAAGTGGTTATATACCGTAGGCAGGAGAGGTGCACATCGTAGGTGGTGTCACAAGGTTGAGGAACTGATACCTCAGTCTCTTGCTCTTCACGGTTCTCTCTTGTTTGAACTGATGAAAGCCACTGAGGGCGAAACGTTTCCTCCAATAAAGATACCCCCCAAGAGTTTGCACATGTGTCTAATTTACAACAGTCGGTTCTCTGAACCATCATCTACATTCCTGTCAGACACTGCAACTTCTTGGGATCTTAAACTTGGGAATTCTTTGCTTGCCTAAGCCTTGGGCACGACCTACTTCCAACAGGACAAATGTGTACACCACCTACGACTGGTCTGCACCTCTCTTGCCTACGGTATATAAGGCCACTTGCATCGCGCTCATATGCGTATTCCTATTCAACATTGATGGACTGACCACATTGACCAAGGTTTGAGTGACTGATTACCTCGTTCTCCGCGCTCTTCACAATTCTCTCTTGGATGGACTGATGAAGCCCTGTGTGTCGAAATCGTTTCCTCAATAAAAGATACCCAAGAGTTGCACATGTGTCTAATTTATCAATAACTGAGAGTGACGCTTCAGGAATCTCACAAAGAGTCATTCCAGGCCCTTTATAAAACATACCTTAGGCCCATCTTGGAGTATGAGCACCACATGGAACCTGCACAAGAAAAAAAAACATGTTGGAGAAAATGCAGAAGAGGCAGCAAGGTTTGTTCCTAAGCCATAGAGGAATGAGGTGTAAGGGAGGCTAAAAGATTAGGACCTAAAGACTCTGAAGACTGAAGAACGCAGGGATGATATGATGATAACCTACAAAATACCCATGGAAAAAAAAAAAAAAATGACAAGGTATAAAGAGTATTGGTTGTTAGAGAGGCGAGAAACAAGCTCAGGGACACGATGGAAGTTCATATAGCGGATGAGCCACAGGGATGTTAGGAAATATTTCCTCAGTCTCAAAGTGGTCGGAAAATAAATGATCATTGTTAGAAAGTGGTGGAGGTAAACAACATACAGAGTTTTAAAAGCAGTGGGATAGTGCCCAAAAGGCTACGAGGGAATGAATTGAAGAGTGCAAGTTAAAGGTGGGGGCAGGAGCTGAGAGTCACCAACCCCGCAACCATAAACAATGGGACACTCACATATAAGTGAGTACATATAGCAAGTACCTAGAGGTGAGTTAAATATCAATGGTATACATACCAACAAGACGATGAATTAGACACACATACAACCATCTGGGTATCTTTACTTTGTAGATGTTTCATCCACTGTTTTTTTATCAACACAATTCCGTATATATTTCCTACAAGACTTCAGATTATGTCGCATATTGTTACGATAAAGCAACTGGGTGAAAAAAATATCTACAAAGATACTCAGATGTTGTACGTTGTCTAATCCTCATATAAGTGAGTACACACATCCACATAACTTACACATACACACACACACAGACAGCACACACACACACAGCACACTCAATGCACATCACACACATACACACATGTACACACAACATACACAAGGTACACACACACACATTCACACCATGTACACATGTGATGTATAACCCACCACAGAACTGCAGAGGCCAAGAGAAGAATATGAAGAGGACAAACAGAGCATGGTGGACACACTGGCTGAGATGCTCGAAAGCTCAATTCAGCAGAGGCAAAGTTACTGGTTATGGGTGATTTCAACCACAAGGGAAATCACTGGGAAAACCTGGAGCTCATTCATGGGGTCCCAAACCACGGACAGCCAACATGATGGATGTGATAACTAGGAAAACCTCATGCATCAACAGGTCAGGGACACTAACAGAGAGATTGGGAGGATGAACCACAAGACTGGACCTTGTGTTCACCCTGAGGTCATTCAGACATTGAGACATCACAAATGAGAGGCCCCTTGGATGCTAATGATCACAATTGATCGAGTTTTGATTACACAGTAGATACAAGTGAAGAGGGTAACAGGAGTCCGAATGGGAAAAGCCAACTAATAAAAGGGGGGACCTACACAGGTATGAGGAACTACCTGCAGAGGTCCTTGGGACAGAGAACTGGTAGGAATGTCAGTAAATGAATTGATGGATATGTAACAACAAATGCAAGGAGGGCAGAGGAAAGGTTTATTTCCAAAGGGCAATAGAAATAATGGGGAGAGACCAAAGCGAGTCCTTGGTTTACCCAAGGTATAGGGAGGCAAAAACCTAAGTGCACTAGAGAATGGAAGAGGTGGCAGAAGGCAAAGGATCCAGGAAAATAGGAGATTCAGTCGAAAGCCCAGAAACGAGTAGGCACAGATAGTAAAGGGAGGGCGGGGGGGGGGGGGGGGGCCGCGACAGTATGAAACGACATAGCTCGAAAGTCAAGTCTGACCCGAAACTGCTGTAAGCCACATTAAGAGAAAGACAACAGTCAAAGATCAGGTGATCAGGCTTGAGGAAAGAAGGTGGGGAACTCACAAGAATGATGAAGAGGTATGAGAGGAGTTCAACACAAGATTTAAGGGAAGTATTTTGGTGGAGACAGGAAGGACTCTGGGAAGACATACAGAGGGGTGACACCAACAGGAAACACCACATGTGCTGGATGACATACACACAAACGAGGTGTGGTGAAGAAGCTGCTAAGTTACCTTGACACCTCAAGGCAAAGGGACCGACAATAACCCCCTGGTTCCTTAGAGAGGGAGCAGAAATGGCTGTGTGTGCCATTAACCACAATCTCAACAACACATCCCTTGAAAAACCTGGCGACTACTTGAGGTATGGAAGATGTAAATTTAGTTCCCAATTTTAAAAAAGGAGACAGAAAAGAGGCCTAACTAACAGACCAGTGTCACTGACGTTATAGTATGCAAAGTAATGGAGAAGATTATCCAGGAGGAGAGTGGTGGAGCAACTCTGGGAATGGATCAAGATTATAAACGACAACCAGCAACGGCTTCATGGAAGGCAAATCCTGTGACACAAACCTTCTGGAGTTTTATGATAAAGTAACAGAAGTAAGACACGAGAGAGTAGGGTGGGTTCATTGCATTTCTTGGACTGCAAGAAGGCCTTCGACACAGTTCCTCACAAAGAGATTAGTGCAGAAACTAGAGGAACAGCGCATATAACGGAAAGGGCACTTCAATAGATAAGAGAATACCTGACAGGGAGGCAACAACGAGTCATGTACGTGATGAGGTATTACAGCTTCGCACCTGTGATGAGCAGGGTCCCACAGGGGTCGGTCCCTAGGGCCAGTGCTATTTTTGGTATATTGATGACATGATGGAAGGAATAGACTCAGAGTGTCCTGTTCACAGATGACGTGAAGTTAATGAGAAAATTAAATCAGATGAGAGACAGGCAGCCTTCAAAGAGGCCAAGAACAGATGGACACATTGTCCAGCTAAACTGGCTTTCTTGAATTTCAACCCTGCCAAATGCAAAGTCATGAAGATCAGAGACGGGCAAAGAAGACCGCAGACAGAGTAATAGGTTAGGTGGCCAACAACTGCAAACCTTCTCAAGGAGAAAGATCTTGGATGAGTATAACAACGAGCATGTCTCCGTAAACACAACATCAACCAGATAACTGCTGCAGCATATGGGCGCCTGCAAACCTGAGAAATAGCGTTCCGAAACTTAGTAAGAAATCTTTCGCAAGACATCTGTACACTGTGTACGTCAGGCCCATACTGGAGTAAGCGCACCAGTTTGCACCGGGTCAAGCACGTTTGAGAAATTAGAAATGTGCAAAGGTTGCGACATGGTTAGTGCCAGAGCTAAGGGAAATGCCCTACGAAGAAAGGTTAAGCGGGAAATTGCCTGATGATACTGAAGGGCAGGAGGTTAGGGAGACTGATAACGACATACAAAATACTGCATGGAAATAGACAAAGGTGGACAGAGAAAGATGTTCCATAGGAGGTACCCACAGAAACAAGAGGTCACTCTTGGAAGTTGAAGACTCAGATCAGATTATCACAGGGATGTTAGGAGAATTTCTTTCAGTCATACAGTGGGTCCGGAAGTGGAACAGTCTGGCGAGTGATGTAGTGGAGGCAGGAACCATGCACAGCTTTAAGACATGGTATGATAAAGCTCATGAAGCAGGGAGAGAGAGGAGGGGTCCTCGTAGCGTTCAGTGAAGGGCGGGACCGAGAGCTGAGTCTCGATCCCTGCAACTACAATTAGGTAGTACAATTAGGTGTTGTACACACACACACACAATGTAACACCACATGTACACACAAGACACGACATTCACAATGTACACAAACATGTACACACACAAAATGTACATATACACACACCCACACACATGTTATACACACATTCATGTGTACACACACACACACACACACACACACACACACCACACTACACACCCACACACACACACACACAAGGGTGAGAGATGGACCTAATAGCATTCAGTGATAAGTTGGGGCCAGGAGCTGAGTCTCGATCCCTGCAACCACAATTAAGGTGAGTGCAATTAGGTGAGTGCACACACACACACACACACACACACACACACACACACACACACACACATCAACCAAATAACTGCTGCACAGATGGGCACCTAGCAAACCAAGAATAGCATTCCAACATCTAATAAGAATCAATCAGGCATGTATTGGAGTAGCAGCACCGTTTTGGAACCCACACGCTAGAACAATCTATGTAAGGAATTAGAGAAAGTGCAAAGGTTTGGCCAACAAACTAGTCCAAGAGCTAAGGCATGTCCTACGAGAGTGGTTAAGGGAATTTGGACCTGATGACACTGAAGGCCAGGTAGATGGGGGGATATGATAACACATATTAAATACTGAGAGGGTTGACAAGGTGGCAGAGACAGGAAGTTCCAGAGAAGGACACAGCAAACAAGGGATCACATTTGGAAGCTAAGACTTACAGAAATGTTAAGAAGTATTTCCTCAGTCATAGAATTGTCAGGAAGTGGAACAGTCTGAGAAGTGAAGTAGTGGAGGCAGCCATCCATACATAGTTTTAAGAAGAGGTATGATAAATCTCATGGAGCAGGAAGAGTGACCTAGTAGCAACCAGTGAAGAGGCGGGCCAGGACTTGGACGCGACCCCTGCAACCACACTAGGGCGATACACATCCAAAAAATAAAAATTATTTAACCTTATAAATTTTGGCGAGTGGTACTAAGGACAGCAGGACTGAGAGACTAGACAACCCGTCTCAGTCATACAACGTGACCCTGGAAAAAAAAATAAAGCCTATTGTATTTTCAATAAAAATAAATCAAATAATATCTGCCATATCAAATATGCTGGCACTTTTTCAAGACTGATGGTCCTGAACACATGACACTCCAGGCTGAGGGACTGTTGC